CAGAACATTTTTTTGTGGGGGCTAACAACTAAGGAAAAAATAGAAAGCTCTTCTGCATTTAGTTACAGCTTTATCAGTAAAATGCAATACAAGTAGCAAAGTAATCCTTAATATTCTAAAACATCAGTTAAACCACAGCCTCCAAATTCTTGTAAAAATTAGAAGTGTCTTGAATTGAAGGGCAGTGACCAAAGTGCACCAATTATTGATACTATATGTTGCCAATATAACTGCAGGAGTCAAGTGGTACAGTAACATAGTTATCACTGCATTTTCATGAGACAAAAGAAAACACTGGAATTCATGTCCTTAAGTACAAAAGGATACTTGAGTTTTGCTCATCCTGCTTGTTAAAAAAAAAAAAAAAAGACCAAATACTTTTACAAGAAGATACAAGTAGAAAAAATTGAATAGTACTGCAAGACTGGAAAAATTGTTTAACTTAATCCTTCTCAGCTCTCCTTCTCACTATGCTGTGCAACAGCAGCAGGGAACTAGATTATGGAGAGGCATTAAGTTGTGGTTTTATATATTACTAATAGAGACTTCTGAAAATAAGTTACCTATTACTGCTCACTTCAGTGTAGCTCTAGTTATAAAAACGTCTATCAAATGCTCAAATTAAGATAACAACAGAAAAATGTTTTTAAAAACATCTTTAAATCTCTACCACCATCTGGAGGATGCTATGAAATAAAACATTCCTCCTACAGTATTTCAAGTAGACCTGTCCAGACAAACCAAAAACAAAAGTAGTTTTCCAAATTGAAGTTCTAATCTATTCCAAAGATTAGTTTGGCATTTACCAAGAGACTCAGACCAAAACATTTTACAGAAATTCATCAGTCTCACTAATCCACTAATCTATAGAAAACTGTCCACAGAAGAGTTTCACAACCACCCCACATAAGAAGTTGTAAAATACTTGGGCTGTTAAATAACACCTAAAAAGAGTAGAAAGCAAATACAAAGCAATACCACTATTATATACTAAAGAATCTTTGTGGAAGATAACTAGTTTTTAGAAGTTCCTTTTTGAAAACAGAAGTGTCTTACTACTTTTGACTTTAGGTTTCACTCAGCCTGAAACTGCACATTTTAGTTTCAGTCAGTATCACTGGCAGGCAATAAACATTGTGTAACTTAACAAAAAGTCCAGTATTTAGAACCATTTCCTGATCTAAAAAAATATATTCAAAAGAGCCAACCTATAGTCTTCCAAGACTTCCAAACGTCAAGTCTTAGGAAATGTTACCAAAAGCAGGCAACTACCTGCTTTGTATCCTTGACTAAGGCAGGCATTTCACTCAAACAGTGATATGCACTCTTCTACAGCTGCCCCTTACTACTCATTAATTCCATAAGGACAACTAAAAAACTGATCTATGACTATACAAAGGTTTGGTGAACAATAAATTTTATTATTACGTTTCATTTCAGTCCTTTTTTTTAACTTCAGTTCTGTTCAGGGATTATCACTCTTGAATCAACTCCTTTATGCTCCTTCACAGTAGCTGTTACTTTGAACACAGCAGTTGCTGAACCTGAACACTTAAAAGTGTCACACTCATGGTTGCCTGAACTTTATACATGGTAGGCAAGTTTCACACTGCTGCATATATTAAGCATCATGAAAGTTACAGCAAAACCATGTTTCCCTTAAGGGACCACTGAATACCCACACAGGAAATATGTTAACCATAGATTATATAACAGAAGCCTTTTCATGGACTGGCCTTCAGTATATTTGCATTTTCAGAAGGCTCTTGAAGGTAAAAACGTTCCCTGAAGGGCAGCAAGTACAAGACTAATGTTTAACCAAAAGGGACAATCCAGTATGATCTCTAAAAACTTCACGCTTTCACTTAAAGGTCCTATTAACTGGAAAAAAATTAAAATACTTACTGTAATATCCATAAAGTACAGTGTCTTCAATTTGTCTTGAAACATTAGCATCAGCCCAGATCTAGCAATAAAGGATAGAAGCATTTATCATCAAATGAAACAAAATAATACTACAAGACAATAACTCATTAAAGAACACATATACATAGAGGGATATAAAAAAAGCTATGTCTAAAAAAAAAAAAAAAAAGATGCTAGACTGCCAGCAACAGTGAAAATCACTGAGCAAACAGGAATGCAAACAGGAGTAAGCATATGACAGCTTCATAAAGGGCAGATTTTAGACCTGAAAGAACACTGAGTAGCTTTGGCAGCTCCCATGTATGTTCTGCTAATTCCCACAGTATCTTTATAAGAGTCTCTTAAGACCATCACAGAATGGTTTGGGTTGAAAGGGACCTTCAAAGATCATCTAGTCCATCCCTCCTGCCCAAGGGCAAGAACACCTTTCACCAGGTCAAGTTGCTCAAAGCCCCATTCAACCTGATATTGAACACTTCCAGTGATGGGGCATCCACAATCCCTCTGGGCAACCAGTTCTAGAGTTTCACCACTCTCACCACAAAAAATTTCTTCTTCATGTCCAGTTTAAACCCACACTCCTTCAGTCTAAAACTGTTGGCTTTTGTTCTGTCTCTAAAGGCTTTGGTCAAAAGTGTTTCTCCATCATTTTTATAACCTCTTTGTATATTGAAAGGCTGCAATAACATTTCTCCAGAGCCTTCTCTTCTCTAGGCAGAACAACCCCAACTCTTTCAAACTGTCTTCATAGGGAAGGAGATCCAGACCATTTCTGTGGCCCTGTTCTAACAGCTTTCTTGTGCTGTGGGCCAAAGAGGTGGACACAGTACACACAATATTTCTATCACAGAATATCTTTGATTAAAATTTACATTTACAGATGAAACAGTACTTAGACAGAAGAATAACAAATTACTTTTTATTATGCTCAGTTACAGCTCAGCAACTTCTGTTTTTCTAGTTATTTTACCAGTTTCATCTATCATCTCCCTTTTCAGAAGTATGAGACTTCACTTCTTTGTTTGAGCAAGACTTGAATTACATGAATATTCAATTTAGCAACTTAGATCCTACAACTCCAAACCCAGCAGCACTGATAGCCTTTATATGAACAAAAGCAAAAGTAACTATGTTACTCAGTCCTGGGGAATGGTTCAGAGTGTGGAAGCAATGAAAGTGAAAACACAAATCTATGTTGGAAACAGGAGTCAGCCAGACAGCTGATGTCAAGCTCTTGCACCCATTCCCTTTTTCTCCTCCTAGAGAGCAACTATTGGTTTAAGGAAGCTAAATGTCTTATAACAATGGCTGGCAGCCAAACTCAGGGATTGAATACAAGGTCCAAAGGTCCAAACCTGCCAGTACAGCTTAAACATATCCAGAATTGTTTTAGTCTTGTGGGATTCAATCTATGTGTGGTCAATATCAAGACAGTAGTTATCCAGAAGCAAAACTCTTTAAAAGCTAGAGAACACACGAAAATAACTGAATTGGTGAAGAAAAACAAAAATGTCCAGCACTGTCAAAGCTCCTTTCAATTTCCACGTCCAGGTTTTTTCTAAACTGGTAAGAGCAAGCCCTTTCACTTGTAAAGACGCATGACTAGGACAGAGATATCAAAGTGCAAGTGAGTATACTCCTTAATGACTGCTACCACAAGACTTAAAGATGTTAGGCACTTGCTTTATTAGTTCTCTCAATACTCATAAACTCTTATAGAATATGGGTTTGATAACATATCATGAATACTTGATTTTTCTATTATCTCAGAAAGTCAGCACCACCTTCCTTTTTGTTACTGTATTAAGACTTCCAGTAGGTCACTTTACATTAAGCTTTTAAAATTCACTGTCTGAACTAAATTAGATCATCATTCAACTGGAATTTGAGTAGAAAAGTACACATGCATTTTGACATGTAATCAGCAAAAAGGAAGGATGAAAAATATTTTCACAGAAGGGGACAGAAGCAATACCTGAAGTGTCTGCCAGGTGCACAATAAGCTAAATCTTTGAAGACTGTCAGGCTCAAGCCCGACAGCATTTCAACTAAGAAATTTCTAGGCATTTGCATTTAAATACACCACAAAAGAATCTGATTGTAATAAGTTAATACTACGTAACACTAAAGCATTTAAATTGCCTAATGTTAAAAATTAAGAGATTACATTGCTTTAATTATGCCTAAGGGAAAAATCAAGCCTGAACTGGACAGTTTGCATTATTTGCTTCCAAGTAAGTACTGGAACAAGGTCTCTCCTGTAAATGATGGAGACATTCAAACGCACACCAACCAAGGTTAAGCAAGAAAAACAACATTAAGACCCAATGTTTAAGTGGCACAGTCATTGTACAGGAAGAAGTAGCTAGTAATGGAAATACCAACAGAGCTTAGCTGCCAAAGAATTGCTTCTCCCTCAACTACAGAAAAGCATTAACAACATTTATAACACAATACAGATGTAGAACTTGAAAACATTGTAACTGTTCTTCATCTTATTTCTCAAATTAAGTTGCATACAGGACCAGATTAATATTCTAGGAAACATACACTACACTACACTAAAATAGTGAGATGTTATCTTAAATAAACATGTCAAGATGCAAAGATGTGTGCATTTCACCATCATTTAGATCTGACCCAATAAAGAAACTTCACACTACTCTGCACAGAAAGAAACTGTAATGCAAGCCAATTTAATATTTATTACGTCAGCTTTCAGTCTGCTAAGTCCCACATTTACATAAAGTAAAGAGGCAAAAAAACCTTATTCTGACAAATTATGCATATGCACACACCATCAGTAACTCAAAAGCTGTAAGCAGTTCATCTGAGCTGTTTCAAAAGCTAGTGACAGCAGCACTGTCTTGTCAGAAGCAAGAAACAGTGCTACCTAGTGAGTGTCAAGAGCTCTGACATTCTCAGCATCACCGGTGACATATCAAGCAGCTAGGTATATGAATTTACTGAACTAGCACACCCACAACTCAGCTGAGAACTCATCTGGACAGCCTGTAGATCTAGTCTGTTTTTCTTCTCCATCCATTACAATCTAAGCTTACAATACATACAGCAAATACCTTAGAAGTACAATAGATTAGGAAGGTTAGAATTCATTACTGCCTTCAGCAACAGTTTAAGGTTGAAAATGTGACCACAAATTCTCTTAAGATCTGCAGAATTCAGGCACTCTGCACTGTTCTGCTGTATTTCATTCTGTTCCGTGTAGTTTGGCAAGCACATAACACACCACCTTTAAAATACCCATAACAATGCATTGCATTGATAGATAAGGGAAGTCACAAATTGCAAGGGTATGTGAAATGAGTATGATTACCCATATTAAGCTATTATGCTTAAGTATTCCTTAACATAGGTCATGTTAAATGCACTTACAAGTGTAAAAAGTAAATATATTAGTAAAATGTTGCTGTGTAAGTAAGGATATAAAAGAGGCAGTTTAAGACACTTCCAGTTTACCTAAATGCTAAAACCAAAGCAAAGCTCCCTCAGAAGATTCATTTAGCAATTTTATTCATATAAAATTAGTTATGAAGAACATTTGCTCCCCCAGTAATCATTGAGCTGAGTCTTTTCCAGAAACTGTGTCCAGTTAGTAACTCATGTTAATGTATTTCAACAGAACACTACTATTCCAACCATACAGATAACTTCCCCAAATGAAAGCAGTACAAGTTAATCTGACAGTTTTGACCTTCCCCACTTTTTAATGGGGGAACAGCCATGAATTTCATTCCTTTGTCCCCATTAAATGTGATATTTCTACTGTCACTGCTGGACCCTGCAAGAGTTTCATGAGTACCACATTACAGGTTACAGTATTTGTGATGTTTCATCAAATGTAGATGAAGCAGTCATTCTGCTGATTAGCCTCTCCAAACCTCAGCCAATAAAAGGAAGATACAGCATGAAAGACTGGAGAGTGGGTCATAGCATGGTTATATAATCAAGAAGTTTCATATCCAGGTCTCAGATCTTCCAGCCTGTTATCTCCAAAATGGGACAGTGCCAGAATTTTGACTGCCAGATGGAGAGTAACACACAGAAACATGCATATCTCAGGCACATCTGGCTACTGTGAATGTTTCGGCCAAGCATTATTACTTCAAAAGTAGTAATTCTTACTCAGAACAAGAAGCATGGTCTCAGACAATAATGATTTCTCAACTAACACCTTTCTAAAAATAAAATCCCCCTGACATTTCTAGTGGTTTGTATTCTGAGTATCTATATAATGAGTTGCTCCCCCACCACCACCCTTGCAAGATGCAAAAAAACCTTTTTACAGACCATTCTATTACGTATCTCCCACTAAACAGATGCTACTCCTTGAACCACTCAGAAGACAACCGGCTTTTAACAGCTCAGGTTGTTGTGATACATTCGGTCTAATCAGACAAAGAACATGCCGCTGGCTTTTAACTTCATACAGCAGCAAGAATCCATACATTTCTAAGTGAAAAAGGTTTCATGACCTTCTCTGCCTTCTGCTAAAACAACAGTAGAAAAAAAACCAGTGTGGTGATGGGAGTATCCTTGTTTCCTGCTGCAAGAATGCATCAGTTTTATTTTAAATATTTGAAACCTGTAGGTCAGACCCAGAGGGCTTGGGTTCCAGCACCAATTTTAAGTCTTTAAGCTATGGTGAGGTTTTCTGTTCCTAAGTGCTTGTTAAAAATCAAACAAGCTTTCAGATCAAACAGATCTGATACAAGTGGATATATGTGAAGCCCACTGAAACAAACTATAGCATTGTAAATCCAAACATACAAAACCTTGAGCTCAAAGTGGTGCTGGTGAATATTACCATAACATCACTTACAAGGTAATACTCCGTTCTTTTACTAGTACTAAAACCAAAAGCCTTCTTTCCTACTTAAGCAGCACTATGAATCAAAGCAATCCCAACCTCCAGGAAAGGTGTTGCAGTGACTTCTACTACAGTTAGCGTGCAAAACTTTCTAATAACAAACCCGCTCAGTTCACTCACTAAAAAACCTTTAAGATAATATCTGGCAAGTCTCTCAAAATATGATGGGAGACACCATTATGTAACAAATGCTTCAAGCCACTTGTTCACAGTAAAGAATAGTTTGTCTTAATTAAAAGATGTATAAATAGTACCTTAACAGTCCTGTTGAAATGCACAAAACCTCAAGGTAAACAACCAAGGCAGACCAAGGTACAGCACATAGCCCTTGTCAAGGAAGGCACCACAGAACACATGATGGAAAAAGGCTACACAACACCTTAAAGTGAATTCCTCCAGAAAGCAGCATAATTTTCACAGCCTTCAGAAGGGTGCTCTGCTTGGGTTATACAGTTCAGACCATCAAGTCAATCCTCCTAGCCAAGACATATACCCTCTTCATTTGTCACCAATCACACACACAATGAGAACTTTGAACCATCAGACCATGCGTTCAATTTAACCTGTGCTATCGACAAAATGTGCTTCTCCCTAAGTTTGCTACAAGCCTGTTCAAAGAAAAGCCTCAAGAATATCCACAAGTTGGTAGAAGGGCAAGATTCATTAAAAATTAACTTCAAGTCCACATATAGTACCTCTTCCTCCTAAGTTGAGCATCTTTGTCTTTCTCATCACTCTAACGCTGACAGTAGAAATTACACTTGGGAGGCACAGAAAAAGACTACATAACGAAAAGAATTGTTGACCTAGAATCTTGGTAACTGCCACTACTCTTGCGGCATGAGCCCTGAAATCATCCAGTTGGAAGGTCTTTTGATGAAATAACTAATTTATCTACAGAGAATATTATTCACATTTGCTACTTGGATCTACCTCAAAAAGTCACTGAGAAGACTATAGTAAAGACTTAACTCCCTCTGGCCATCCACAGCAACAGAGGGTTCTTGCCAGAGTCATAGTGAGAGGGTCTTGAAGTGCTGGATTTGAAAGAATAGTCCAGAGAAAGTCCAGTCTCCTGGAAATATTCTGAACCTGATCAAGTCTGTCCTACTTGTGAAGCAGTAGCAGGAAAGAAGCATGTGTTACCCTGGACAGTGTTAAAAGCTTTAACAATTAACAAAGATCTGATGGTAAGATGTTGTCAGCCTCCTACCTCAACGTTACTTCTAAACTGAAATTACCAAATCAGTAAAGATATGTTTACCTACAGGTTTGCATGTTCTGACTGATTTATTTCAACACCTGTGTTGGAAAAAATGCATTTATATCAAAAGATCTCATGTTACTGCTGCAAAGCTAGAAACTCAATTCAGCTGAGACTTAAAAGACACAGAAGAATTCTTCTGCAAGGCACTAGGGAGCAATTTTATTTCAACAGGCCATCAGAAGTATCTACAAACGTTAGGAATTAAGCAGGACCAAGAAGCTTCAGAAGCACAGGCAAAAAGATACTTTACAGAAGAATGTATACATTAGCAAAATAGGCCTCCTTCGCAACAGAACATTCTGCTTAGTCCCCATCAGATGTGCACTTTTCAGCTGGACCTAGTTACATCATGGTTATTACTCTAGATAGTCAGGCTCAATTTATTTCTTAATACTGAGTATCATTGAATTGCTGAAATCCTGACACGTGAAAGATCTCTTCTGTCTTCCATATCCACTTTAATTCTGAACAAAAAAAGTCTGAAGACACAAACTTTTAACAGTAACACTGAGTAATGCCTTCATTTATTCTATAATACCATTAAGCAATAGAGATGACAACATTCCCATCATGACTCAATTCTAAAGGCTTCTTATGACTTGCATTTATATAATCACCAGCAAGCTAGTTCTGAAGCATTATCACAGATCCAGAAAGACCTACATTTCCCTTTGTGAGCAGGGCTGAAAGGGAACACAGTTTTTGAGCTGCAAGCATTTACCATTTTCCCACTTTATCATTTGTTTCAGGATCATAACCTTTACTACAGATCCAGGTAGGCTCCAAACCAAACTAAGTAGTTATTCAAGTTACCAATATGTTCCAGTCCAACCTCTTGTTACTTATAGTGTCCTCACAAAGACACTGTGTCTCTACCTTCAAGAACTCCCCTTGAAAATTAAAAATGTCAATACTTGAAGCATTGGGAAGAACCCCTACTTACACCAATGCTTAGAGCAGATGACAACAATTACTCATCTCATTAAGAACTCATTTTGCACAGCAACCTCCTACAGTTTATAAATACAGTAGGTTTGGTTACGGCTCTATCAGCCAAGAGGAGATATTACTGTATTTCCCTCCCTAAAGGGTTTTCGCAGCTTTCCCTCTTTCAAAAGGGTGCTTATTAATTCAGGTTTTAAATTATAGGTAGATTAACACAGTAAATCTTTATAAAGTCTTAATGTTTCCATACCAAATTTTTTGCTGGCAAATAAGACAAAAAAAATAACCTAAATTACAAATGGGCAATACAGTCTGGTTTTGATCAAAGGTGCAACAAATTTTATTCCACAATGTCCTATTATAATGTACTAAAAATCCAACACTTAAGCAACTTCTTGATCTCTTCCAGATGGTACACTCACTCTTGCACAGCAGAAGGAATGAGCGTTCGGAAAGGAGTAGAATATTTAAGATAAATACAAAATCTGAAAAAACTGAAATCTAGATTAAATAACAGATCTCAGTGTTGTATGTACAGCACTAATACCCAACTTCAAAAAAAACTCATCACTAAACAGTTTAGTGTTACTATGCAGGTATTAGCATTGATTTTAAACACTTTGACAACCTAAGAACATCCTGTTGCAACACAAATGCTTCTTCTGAAGAGGTAATTAACATTTTTACAACTCCATACCTTAAATGTACCATTTTGGTTTTTCATATACGAAACCAAAAAGATGTCCACTGGTAGTAGTGCTGATGTGATAAGAGCAACGGCCAACGCAAATATTGCTGTTATGGTAGAAATCACTTCACTTTCCCGCCGACTCTGGTACTTGCGCACGTAAACCCAGCAGAAAATTAAAATGGCCTGAAATACACAGCAGAAGAG